GCCCGGTGAACGGGAGCCGTTAGTGCTGGCCTGAGCTTAACCTGAATTTGTTGCCAGGTACAAACAAGATTGAACTTGCTCTTGGGTTTAAGAGCGGAGATAAATCCTCCCCCGAAGGCTGCAGAGCCGGTCAGATGGAGAAGGAAAATAAGAGTTTCAATTTGGTTAGTGACGATCCGTGTGTTTCTAACTTGGCCGCAATATTTTTTCATTTGGGAAGCGCTGGGAGGCAGCTTGGGGAGGGCAGGGGAAGGGGAACGGGGGGTGATCTGCCCTGGCAGCAACCTGCTGGTCCCCCTCCCCACCCCCGGGACACCCCCAGGACCAGACAGCACCCGTCCGGCCACACTCACCCATCAATGGCTCCTGTTGCAGAGGGTGGTTATGTGTCTTGTTAACCTCCAGGCAGCAGTTTGTGTTTAGAGAGTAAATATTTACCTCCCTTCCTAAGGGTGTTTTTTTTTTCTCCCCCCCATCTCCCAGGGGGTGGGATCCGAGGGCCAGTGCTCCCCGGGATGCTTGCCCTCACGCCACAGGCTGCCCGCTGGCTCGAAAACCACACTTTGCTTTGAAAATCGGGTTTGCTTCTATATTTAAAGACGATAATAACAGAAAGAAAAGCAAAGCCAAGCTGGCCACTGATTATTTTTTTTTTATTATTATTATTTTATTTTTTATTTCCTGTGAGCAAAGTGATTGCTGCTGTGTTTGCTGCTGCCCCACCAGGAAGATGGGGGGCTTTCCCAGCCCCCCAAACCCAGCTTTGGGGAAGGGCTCCATTCCCCCTCTTCTGCTGCTGGGGAGGGAGGAGGAGGTTTGTGTCTTGGCCAACTTGTTGCTGTTTCTCCAGCTTCTGCAGGGATCAAAGTGCCTGTTTTGACTCCCCTCCTGATTCCTTGATAACAGAAAATAGTTGTAATGCAATTAAATATCTCACACATGCAATGGCTCGGGGCCCTTGTTGTGTCTCGGGGCTGGGTGTGTGCTGGATTCACCCTTGACTTGTGAGCAGCGTGGAGACATGGAGCTCAGGGATGGCACACACAAAGGAGTCCAGAGCTTTCTGGTTTATCAGGAGCCTCCTAATACCAGTTTTCCTTAAACCCTGAGCTCTCGGGGGTGTGGGACCTGGAGGAGCCATTCCTGGTCCTCTGGGTGCTTGAGGGGATGCAGGGTGGAAGATGCTGTGTTGAGGGGTGCAGAGCATGCTCGGGGTGCTCACTTTTGGAAATGCATCTTGCCTGGTGGCACCGGGCTGGCCACTTAATTTCTGTGCATCCTCCGTGCTGACAGAGATGGAGTGAGGTGTCAGCAGACTGTTTTGAAATCCTTAAGACAAGGGCTGTGATCCCAGTCCTCTCTGCGCCTTCGCTTTGCAGCGAGGAGGGGCTCTACAAATAAATACAGACAGATGAGCTCTTTCACTGGTAATTTGTCACTTCATAATTGCCAAAGAAAAGCAGGTTAGTTTTCTCCTCCTGACCTCTCTCAAGTAGCCTTTTCACCCCAGCTGGCCCCGGGGGCAGGGTCGGGGTCCTGCCATGCCCCTGTGGGGCAGCCGTCCCCCTGCAAAAGGGCTGCAAAAGGCACCTTGGCCTTCTACATCATGTTTTCCAAGTGACATTTCCATGCCATGGGATCACCCCCAGGGTGCCTGCACCTCCTTGCCCATGTGTGGGTGAGAATGGGACCAGATGGGAGACCAGTGCACAGCCAGCTCAAAGGATGTGATATAGGGTCAGTCCCTGGTACTAACAAAATTTGGGGCTTCCAGCAGTGGGGTCACACCTGAGGACCCAGCTGATCACCCTCCCTTCCTCCAGCGCTCCCCTCTCCATCCCTGGTTCCCCAGGGTGCTGTGGGATCCAAGCTCCAGGAGTTTCCCTGGTGGAACTTTGGGCTGGAGACCCTGGGGTGGTTCATCTTCTGGGGGGTGAC